AAAGTCCCGCTTATCACATAGTGCCCAGGACATAACTGATTTATGCCCTGCGATCTTGATATAGTGACAGGGTATAATTAATAATTAGTAATATCGATTTTATACTTACGCACTTGTTGATCAGTTGATTTTGATCGCTGGGCTTAGGATTGAACCTAGGTGCCGCACAAAAAATGCGCGGCAGATCCTCAATTTGAGCAACGATCAAAAAGTTAGGAAAGAATTACTCATAATTTTACTAATGTTCCTGGGCCTATTTTTTGAAAAAATTTTCTATTTTGTGAGGAAAAAATTAAAAGTAAATTTCAGCCGGAAATTAGTAAAAATTATGTAATGCGGGCCAAAATTTTGAAGATCCTTGGCTGTTAGCCAATCAAAATCGAGGATCTGCTGTGGATAACTTGGCACGTGCCTCAGATAAAATAAGTGATGTATTTATCAAAATAAGCGATGTACAAATTCTATTTTTTAAAGTATGGACGTATTTACATAATCGCTTACTGATAAATATTTATCGAAAAAGCCTATTTAATTTAATTTTCTGATCCGGAATTCTAAAAAAGAAATAGGCTCCCACTTATTTTGGAAAAAGTTAATTCCGAAACCCAATTTATTAATCCTTAAACTTTTTCTTTACGGATATTTTTATGATTAGGACTTTAATTAATTAAACTACGTACTTCAACGGTTATAATAATATTTATTACTTTTCTATTACTTCTACAATTTGAAGGCCGCTTTTAATATTACATATCTCTTCTATATTAAACTATTAACTAGCAACATGTTGAATTTACTCATATAAATTTATTTTTTAACTATCTATTTATTATTTTTAATTTATTTATTTTACACTCACTGGAACCACACTGGAACCCATTTTTCCCTCTATTACCTGGCCTTAAGATCCTTGAAAATTACAAATTAACTTTTTAACTTATATCTCTGTCATACGTCGAGCTATGATATAATGCTACTAATACATACCCAAATTAAGCTCAGTATTGAAATTTTTGACATACGTACGTACAGTATGTATAACAATTATAAGCTTTGGTAACACATCTCTATTTGATTGAAGACTTATTTGTTTCCAAGAATTTAATTTTGTTTTCAAGAATTCAATTGTAATTTTAAAATTCCAAAGAATAAAAGTAGTCAAAATGTTTAAAGAAACCTTGGATCGAAAAATTATTTATTTTTACTTGAATGTAGTTATTTGATATACCGATACATAATATCGATATTACAGTATACGTATTTACTAGATTTAGATTCGGTATGACATATATTATTGGCTAAGCCACTAAGCCTAGTAAAAATTTAATCAGCTTGGATCACTATCATTATATGTAATATTTAAATGTGTAACACGATAATCACTTTTTTCTACACTTTGGTTCTTACCATTTTTGTTTCTAATGTTTGCAAAAAACATTTTTTATATAGTTGCGAATTTGCAAATATTCATTGATTCGCATTTCATTTACAATTATATAATTAATAAAACTGGTTTAATAGTTATCCATACTTTGATATTTCTTAATATGATTAAATTAACAATTAATTAAATTCACAAAAGAAAATATGATGCCCTCAAATACGTTTATGGGGTTGTCACTACCGGTGAAAAGTGGTTTTTCACAGTAGTAACATCTGAAAATCAAATAGAGGAAATAAATGAACTTTAAGTTTCATTTGAGCAATTCACAAATAAATGAAGTTCTCAAAGAAGATTTTTTCGGTCATTCTATAAATGCTTTTACATCTGTTTTTTTTGTTCTCACGTTTTTTCTTTACCCAAACTCAAATATTACAGTCATATAAAAGTAAATCTTGACGCCATAGTCAGGAATCTTCACAATATACAATATAGTTCTTCCAAACCAAAATCAACGGTACACTTACAAACCAAATTAGAAAGTTTAGAAGAACCAGAAACAAAGATACAAAGAATTTAACATTCCAATAACTATGTGGACTTCTTTGGCAGTATTGTTAGGCATTTTTGTCATTTCACCTGCCGTAAGTAAGCTACTATTTGACTAAACTGATTCCAATCCTACACAAAAATACGACGTAGCCATGTGAAGAATTTGATAGTGTACAATTAAAATTTTTTTTTTGATCAAATATTAGGCAACTAAATAATCTTATACTTATTTAATTACTGTTATAAATCGTATATATCGTATATTAATTTATTTTTTCTAATTGAAAAACGTTTAGAAGGCTTGTCATATCAAAAATTGCTGATCACTTAGGTGTTAGCATATCTCCTATATGTCGGGTTTTCAAGCACTTTCGAAGATATGGATGTGTTGAAAAATTTCTATAATATTAAACATGAACAATATAGAGCATACCAAAAATGTGTATAAGGTTGCTCTCCGGAATTCAAAATAAAGAAAGTTTTTTTTAAAAAAAAATTTTAATTAATTATGTATTATATTTAATGAAAACTTTTTTAAAAATAAATATATATATATATATATCCCTATACAGTATAAGGATATAATTTTAATTCGATAATCTATTAGAAATGTTAACAAGCTATATTAAAGACAATTTCGCAATAGCAGTTTCAAATTATAATAATTTTTTAGCAGAAAATAAATCGAATCTTAGTTTGATTTTTTACAAAAGGAGTTTCGAAATTAAAATCAGAGACAGAGAATCTTATTTTATTTTTCCAATTTATAATAAGAACTTTATTTAAAAAAAATCCAACTTATTTTCGAAGTACGTCGTTTATTTATTAATTTTGAAATTTCAATTAAACAAGAATATATATATATATATATGAAGATATTCTAGTAATTATAATGTATATCGTATAAGACATAGGAAATTCAAAATTTTCATTTTCTTTACTATTCATCTTTGTCGTTTTATTTTATTTAAAAAATTCAAAAAATCGAACGGCTGTGTTACGTCAAATTGTACTGTACATTGGGTTAATTTTGATTTTTACGAGATATAAAATGTTCGGTGCAGTATACGCACTATACATGGCACGTTACGTACGTACCATTATCAGATCTCATAAGCTATAATAATATGCAACTATAACAAATTCTATGTTCAAGAAATTTTGTACATTACGAGCCATAATAACATCTTCAGTTGTGGCTTTACATATTCATAGATTGATTTGTATTTTTTCTGGCTGATTCTGCATTTCAGAATGAATTCTCGATATTTTGAATTTCTTCTGAGCACCAAGGGCTTCCTTCTGTTACGTGCATCAATCTAGGTACCAAGGTTAGTGCTCTGTAACATCTTCCAGAAGACGGCTTTTTTTTTATTTAGTCCCAATTTACTAGTTCCAAGTCCAGTAGTACTTCGTTTCTCCAGTTGTAAAGTTATTATTTACGAATTTGTGGTAATGATTGAGAATGAACTTAGGTAGTTTGTTACATTGGTAATTATGTATTTAGCCTCCTTATTCTTAATTAAGGCCACTTTTTTTTTTGATCAGAAACAGGTGCAACGTTTCTTGACATCTGCTTCCAGGCAGTGAGGTAGGATCTCCATCCTTTTAGTTAGTCCTTGAGTTTCTATGTAGGTTCAATTCAATTGATCTTCTCAATTTTGGCCCAGAGATTTTCATTGGTTATAAGTTTGAGCCAAACTTATATGAGTCTTGCGTCTATTATGTTCGGTTGCTGAAAATTGTGTATCTTGGGAAGTGACCTATTTTTAATTCAGTTTATAAGCAAGTTGTTAATTTCAAAATTTTGCTTTCTTAGTAGTGGTTGAATATAGACTGTGTACCATATTTTTAGAGAGATAAATCGATTTCGTCATGAGTTCAGTATCTAATTGACAGGTTTCTATTGTTTGTTCTATCCACTGTTTTTTCAGGTTTGTTTACGCTTTTTTTTTTTCCAGAGATTTTTAATCAGAGCTCCTTATCATCTATCTCAAAACCTAAGATCCTGATCGTTTGATCTTTTTTTAGGATGGTGACATTTTTCTCCTGGATAATTCGCATTCATCGTGTTATCAGTAAGTGGGACCAGTATTGGCTTACTTTATTTATTTTCATGGTTGATGCTAGCTCGTGTTGTTTATTAATCGAGTTAGAGTATCTCAATCGTTTTAAGACTCTAGTCCAACTGTTAAATTATCGATATCTTAAACCAGAGATCATGTACTTTTATGCCTGTTATTTTCTTGCACAAGAGGGGGAACATTGGATCACCTTATCTTATATTAAAGCTTCCGAGAGGCGTTCATCATAGTGTTCCAAATCGATAATTGATTAATCGAGTAATTAATCGAGTTGGCAACTAATCGATTTGGTAACTAAACGATTGATAATTTTATTAGACAACTAATCGATTGTTAGTGATTAATCGATTAACTGATTAATCGACTAGTAAGTTAATCAATTAGTTGACTAATCGACTAGTTGTATCTTGTGATTAACGCCTATGCAATTGTATCCAAGCCATTTCGATATACCAACTAGTCAATTAGTCAATTAATCGATTAATTGACTAATCGATTAGTTGGCTATAATATAATCGATTTTTAAATTTTTTTTTGGCCGACCAATCGATTGCATTTTTTAGTACAATTGTAACACTAGTTCATCATCAGTAATATATGCTGTCTATTCTGCGAAATGACTGACATCTTAGCCATTATGATCTAACATGTAAATATCATTTTTATCCCTTTTTTTTTTCTTTGAATAATTTCATATCCGAGTTACAAGACTTTATATTTCTACTAACTGATGTGAAATTAGGAGGTGCGTCTCTCCTGGATAAGATCTAGGAAATTTCTTATAATTTATGAAGACTTCCGTTATCATTAAAGATGCTTGACGAAACTATTTTTGAATTGACGAATGGTTTCGTCAAATGACGATACAGACGAATCGCTTACAATTGACGAAACCATTGATGATTGATGAAACTATTGACGAAACTACTATTTATTATAAAAAATAAAAAATTACACTATAAAAGAGATAATATATAGCTTTATTTATTATCTTTTTAACCTTTTATGACATATTTCTTAAGTGTTAAATGTAATGTATTTTTTTTGTATCGGTAGTTTTTTTTGTCGGATATCCTCGGGTGATTGACACCTTGATCGGGTAATGTCGGATGCGTTCATAAAAAAAAGAAAAATAACCGATAAAAGTAGAAATGGGTAGATATGAAATTGCAAATAAAAATATTAATCTCGCATATATCAATTTGTTTCCATTATAAAAAAAAAATGATAATTTCTTATGATTCATTAATCATCACAGGCTTCGTCATGGGTTTCGTCATTCGTCATAGGTTTCGTCAATCGTCAATCATCATTCAGAAAATTGCTTGATGAATGGTTTCGTCATTCAGAAAATTGCTTGATGAATGGTTTCGTCATTCAGAAAATTGCTTGATGAATAGTTTCGTCATTCATCAATGACGAAAGTTTCATCATTTGTCAGGCATCTTTAGTTATCATCATCTTATAATGTTGCCATATATTTGTTGGTTCTATGTTTTGACTCAGCTTTAGGTTAGTCCATATATTTCAAGACTATTGTCCTCTAATCTTTTTGCCATCTAACTGCATTTTGAAGCACTAAGACTAATTAATTCTCTTTACCAAACTTTTAAATACATTCTACTGTGCCCGTTAAAACGGATCTCTCATTATAGCGGAGTAATTCCTTAGAACTGGTTGAAATAATTTTATTATGTATGTAATCAGTGATTCTATAGCAGAAATTTATTATAACAGGTGGAATTTCCCAGCCTAATTAATACTTTATAACGAAGATAGAGTGTATTATTTTAATCTGTAAAGGAACCTACTCAATCACTTTTTTCAAATGCCTAGCTTTAAAGTTGAAATTCTTTAATGCAATCATCAATATCTTATCATCAATTTAATCCTTATCCAACTTTAAGAGGATCACATAATCGACACTAGGTTAGAAAGTACAGTATTATTACATTTATAATTTTCGCAATTTCCACTAACCAACTCTTATTATCATAAATATGACTTATTCCTACGTTTTGAATTATTCTATGTATTGTATATTTTTCTAATCGCACATGAATTTTGAAAATTTCCAAAAGATCCAAGGTGCTTGTTTGAGAATGATTCAAATTCACAATATCAACTAATGACTCCGCTAAATCGATCTGAAACTCTAATCTATCTTCGAATCATTATATAAGAATCGCATATTTGACACCATTAAACGCTTTTTTCTCATTTTTTTTTAATGTCTTCTTTGATGAGGTAGATGTTGGTCTAGAAAATCTTTTAATGCCTTTCATTACCGGTATTGAAATCTATTTTGTCTCATGAGAACAATATTAATTTAATTTAATGTTCTCAGAATTTATTTATGTTCTCAATAATAAAATTTATTTATATCCCTACTTCGATTTTCTTTTTGGATGATTTTGGAACTTAGCTCGATTTCTTAATTTTATTTCAACTTGACATTATACTATTATACTTATATAGAAAACATATTTTCTAGCATTATTTTTTTTCATAGAGAACATTTACAAAATATCAAGGTATGTTCTCATGAGAGTACGAGAATATAAGATTTCCATCATTGCTCATCACCAATATTATAATAGTGTCTTCCTCAAGTACACAAATTAATGTGGATTCAAAACTATTCGCATTTTTCGGTGGCTATGATTTGAGCTAAGAAGAATTGGAGAAGTATACTGAGGCTACTAAATTACACTCGGTCACAACTTTTAAAGTCTTTCAATATCTTTGACCAATTCTTTTACTTCTCCCGTGTCAAGACAGGCATTGAGGTGTATTTAGAGTAAGCAGAGGTTGAGTTAGCTTTTTCACTCTGAAAATGGTGGGTGGGAATATAGTTGTTAGATGAGATCTTTTTTGTTTAGTGACGAAAGATAAAACCTAAGCCCCAAAATAACAAAACCCCTGACGAAAGATGAAACCTCAAATTCTGCTGATGAAAGACAACACCCAAATTTCAAATGACAAAACCCTAGTGCTCCCCTAAAAAAAAACCCTTACGCTCTCACTAAAAAAAAAAAACTGGATTGATGAATCTTTATGATAATAGTGAATCCCTACTTCTCTCACTAAAAAATTACTACTGAAATTTTGGGTTTGATGAAGCTATCAATAAAATAATAAAATTATCTCTATAATTTTAGATATTTAACCTGTCGATAAATCATTAATAAGGCTTTTTATTTATATTTAATACTGAAGATTTTTATTGACTTGTATGTATATTTAGGTTTTAAAAAGCCAATTACAAAAATTATAAATAGCAAATAAGCCATTAGCATCTATCTTTAATACCGAAGATGTTTATTGGCTTGACCCGGCTTGTATATTTAGGGTTTGAAAAGCCAATTACAGAAATTTTATAATTGAAGATCTGAAAACAATATATGTATGTACCTCTTATTAATTTTTACATATTATCTGTACTAATTTATTAATAAAAAGTCATTTGTTGATTTAGCAAGATATTGATATACAGAAATGTGTGGAATAATCTTAATTGTGCTAGTTTACTTAATTGATAAATTACTTCTTAAGTTACTTATTAAAATTGATATAATTGTATGTTTTAAATTTTAGTCTTATATAAACATAAATGTAGAAGCCAGTATAGTTGCCGTCCAAACCTAACTAGTTTGGGGTTTTGGGACTTTCTAAAGTATTAATCACTATTTGGGACCATGGAATTTGTTCCAAACTTACTGTATGAATTGGGATTTGAGACAAAATTTTATATATATCCAATATGGACCAATAGTTTTAACTACTTGGATGGCAACTATAAGAGACAGTGGCGCCCTTACTTACACTTGCTTCTGTTTCTCATCAGTTTTGTTACTTTTTGTCAATTTCGCCACCTTTTGTCAGTTTCGTTACCTTTAACCATTTTCATCACCTTTTGTCATTTTGTCATTTGAGATATTAGTTGACGAAAGATGAAACTAGGTTTCGCATTTCATCAGCACGAAACCTCAAGGTTTTGTCTAACAACTATAGATAGAAATTATAATACTTAGTAAATTATACTCAAGTAACTTCACTTTTATAGACGGTTTTTAAATTAAAGTTAGAGGTTCACTATAGTTGTTAGATGAAACCTTGAGGTTTTGCACTGACGAAATGCAAAACCTAGTTTTGTTTTTTGTCAGCTAAAATCTCGAATGACGAAATGACGAAACTGATAAAAGGTGACGAAACTGATGAAAGGTGACGAAACTAGCGAAAGGTGACGAAACTGATGAAAAGTGATGAAACTGACGAAGCTGCAATGGGTACAAAATTAATAAGAGATGAAGAAACAGATTATATAATAAACAAGTATAAGTAAGGGCGCCATTGGCTCCTTATATTTTATGTTATATAAGACTAAAATTTAAAATATACAATTAGATCAATTTTAATAAGAAACTTAAGAAGAAAATTAAAAATAAATATATAGATTATTCCACATATTTCTGTGTATCAATTAAAAAAATTATTACACCTATTGGCTAAATCAATAAAAGCTTTTTATTGATAAATAAGTACAGATAATAAATTAATAAGAGGTATATATATACATTGTTTTCAGATCTTCATTTATAAACTATTGTTATATTTGTCAGTTAAATTAATGTTTAGCTGAAATTGTTTTTATTTTCAAAATTTTTTTTGGATTCATAAGATGATCTGAAATAAAAATTCCAAATTCCAAAATCAAGATATAAATCTGATAAAATCCAATACTTTCGATATTTGAATATTATTATGAGTAACATAAAGTATTACCTATCCTAAACAAATACTAAGATTTAAAGTATTTGCTCAAATCATAAAATAAAACACATTCACTTTCAAGATATTTAACTTACTAGTTTATCCATTTCTAGTTTTGATACAATATAGGTATGCAGCTACCTTATATAAACTTAATATTGATGAGCTATACATATATGTTAATATAAGAATACCAATTAATAATGCTTGTTATAAATTTCAAAAAGCTAAACTTGATATGACAATATCATAAATTCTTAAAAGGTTTCATTTTTAACTTATACAATAATATTATTTGCTAGAAAATTACTTATATAACAAATTTTAAAGTTATTAATTTGAATTAAACCTTATTGCATGTCTTAAAATTTTCTAGAGAAAAATTTTTTGATCTATAAATTTATTAAATTTATTACAATATGGTTATATTTATATTTATTTATTTAAATATTTGAGGTAGTGGTAAGGTGGGTTAGTAGTGGTATAAAAAAGTCGTAGTCCCATGATCTCTGACCTTTCCGAACTAGAGAGGAGATAATCAAGATAATCAAATTTTTTCACATATATACTGATACAGAATTAAGCATTTAAAGTCTACAAACTATAGATTAGTTCTAATTTCTAGAATTGAACAGTGCTCTTAAGAAAAAGATTCTTACTTTGAGGTTTTATACAAAACTTATAAGAGTGTATTAAAAGAATCAAGACTAAATAACAGATCTCTACAGTGACAATGTTCTATTTATTTCAATATTAAGTACATTTTAATTACATTAATACAGCTTTTTTTATATTTTAACTATAATATTTTACAAACTTTTCACTCATCTAAATTAAAAAATCTATTGCAGCCAAAAGGCTAATTTTCTGTTTTTTAGCAGTTTTGAAGTTTGTTGCTATGTTCTTGCTCTAAGAACTTCATTACATGTTGTAATTTCGTTAATAAGAGGTTGTTTAAGGATAGTATATGTTTTATAAAGCTTATTATTTTCAATATTATCACATATAATTTTTACTAATGCTTCAAAATTTTTCATATCAGAAGTCAGCTCCATTCTTCTATTTTCAATAGTTTTATACCATTTATGGATAATTATACTCATGCTGTGATTATCTAATGGTATTAGCCTGTGTTGGGATTCTATAATATTGCTTTGTTGAGTGTTATTTCAAGGATTGTTATCTAAGTTAATCCTTGGAATCCTTACTTCAAAAGAAATAAGAGAATAGTCATGATGGTGCATGGTTGCAAGAAATTGTGAAAAAAAGAATGGATGTTCTGCCAAATATTTTTTCACCAAATGTTTACATATATAATAGGGGCTATGCAAGAATGCAGAACAAGAGCAAATCCAAGCATTAATATCAATATAGTAATGTTATTCTATATTTATGTCTTTTTCTAGAGCTAATTTCCAATCATGCTTAAATGCATCCCAATATAATGGAAATGCTTGATTATATTGAAACCTTCTCCATATATTTCTCACATCCGGTATGAGCTCTTTAGTAATAATTTCTGTTAAGTGATCAAGGTGTGGCCAGTTAGAGTAATATTTATAATTATACTTTAGGACACACCAATAAGATTCAGTTATCATCATAGTTCTAGCAATAGGTATTGCTTTGGGATAAACTGCCCTTGTAAATAAGTACCAATCTACTTGATTATACCAACTCATCCATAAGTATTCCCATAAATTATAAAGATTTTTTAAACGGCAGAACTGGTAATCTTCTAAAACACTTTGATATTGGATTTTTTCTAGTGTGAGGAAAATATTTTTACCTACTGGTATAAGTGGGTGTAGCAATGCATGTTTTTTAATTATTTCTAGTAACTCTTTTCTAAATTCTTCAGGACACACATTATTTTAGCGTTCTAATGGAAACCAGGCTGAATTAATAAAAGGAAATTGAGTGTGTGCCTCATTTGCTCTTTGTTCTGAATATAAATTTTTTCAAGCTTTTTTTTCTTTAAGCTTGCACTCAATTGCTCATTTCATATGCCAAAGGCAAAGATATATAACTGTATAAGGCCAAGCATCCCATACAGCAGCAATCTCTCCAGAATCTTTATCTGAAAAGACAAAAGCAGGTAAAATACCTTCATTTCGTAAGCCAATAAAAAATTCTTTAAGAATACTGATGCGATTATGTATACTATTATTGAAATTTGATAGCAGTTCTTCTGATCCTGAAAACGTATCTACATACAAGTATACAAGAGAGAGACCATATCTGAAAAAATTAAAAAATCAAACCCGAATTAAAAAAAAAAGAAAAAAAATAAAGGGAAAAAAGAAAAGAAAATTAACTTACCCACTGCAATTGACATTTACTACAAACAGTTTAAAATGTTTCTGATTTGTTTTGAACATTGAGTCAATTATGATCTCATTAATATTTTCTTGCAAATTTTGTAGACTTTGAAAAAATAGAGTAATGAATTCGAGAGAGCGTACAAAGTTATTCTCTTGGTATTGAATAAGTTTATATCCTTCATTCTTTA